TACAACAACTACTACTGCATGCCCAGAAGTTACAACAACTACCACTGAATGTGCTCAAATTACAGGACCTGCAAACGATATTGGTCGCACTTGTCCTGGTGGTTACGAGGAAGGGGAATTATTACCTTATCCTGAGAGTTGTGATAAATACTACGTATGCTTTGACGGCAAGCTCCAGGAAAGAGAATGCGGTGTAGGTAATCGCTTTGATAGCACCCTGAAGGCGTGTGAGCCCGATACAGAACATAACTGCTGGCCAGCTGACGGCCAGCGAAGCAAACGGAGTGTAGACGAAGATGTCGCAGACGAGGAATCTGATTTGAGATCTAACAGTGAAGTAGGAGTTTTAGATGAAACCCCCCAAAAATCCGATGAGAGTTTTCTCAATAATAACAACGAGGTTTCTATTTCTGATGAAAACAGTGAAAACACCGTGGAAAAATCTGAAAATCGTGCATTGGACAATTTAAAATGTTTAGGTTTGTACGCTGAAGGAAAAATAGTCAGCCATCCCAAGGATTGTCGGCAGTATCTAATTTGTGTCAGCGGTGAAATGATTTTAAGGGATTGTGGCTTTGGCAACTATTTTGAACCAAGAACACTAACATGCAACATTGACAGCGAACAAAGTTGCATCTCAAACTTTAATTTGGACAGTAAAAGTGCCGTCGTTGATGGCAAAGCAGCTAGTGATAGTGACACAGAGTGCACATGCCCGGGCGGTTACAAGGAAGGACAATTACTGCCATTCCCTAATTACCCCGTAAACTGCGATAAATATTATAGATGTACCGACGGTAAGCTCCAAGAAAGCGATTGTGGCAATGGCAATCGTTTTGATAATAGTACTGGCGCTTGTATTCCGGATACTGACCACGTTTGTTGGCCAGCTGAAACTAATTGCACTTGCCCCGGCGGCTATAACGAAGGTCAATTGCTCCCTTACCCTGATAATTGTGACAAGTATTATATATGCACTGGAGGCAGGCTTCAAGAACGTGATTGTGGAAGTGGCAACCTTTTTAATAGTAGCCTCGGGGTTTGTGAACCCGACACTGACAATACCTGCTGGCCCAACGTGTGCAAGGATCAACCGGATAGCACAGCTGTAGCAGACTCGACCAATTGTACATCTTTTTACCTTTGTGAAGGTGGTAAAGGAGAAGTATACGAATGTCCTGATGAAAAATGGTTTAATCCGCTTCAAGGAATTTGCATGCCAGATTACAATGCGACCTGCATAAATCCCTGCAAAGATACCACAGGCATTACGTTCCTACCAAATCCCGATTGTACCAAGTACTTCCTTTGTAATGATGGTAAGCCTTATGTGGAAACGTGTGCGGTGGGTGGGTTCGACATAACCCTGGGCAAATGTCATGAAGATGCAGTTTGTGAAGCTACATTGTGCCTGGATAAAGATGACGGAAGTACATTCCCTGTGGTAGGAAATGACACTAAATTCTATGTGTGCCTTGGAGGTGTGGCACAAATTAACGAATGTAGTCCTGGAACTGTTTACCAAGCTTCTTTAGGAGTCTGCTTAGAGCAACCAAGCGTAAGTCAATGCGATTCCACACCAATACTTATTATCGTTTGCTAATTTTTGTCCATTGCGTTGTGCCCCACAGTCAAATTGTGATCAGACCAAATGCAGTTCTACTAGCTCTGAATATGATGCGTTTGCGCCGTCAACAGATACCGATGACACCGCATTCTGTTTGTGTCGTGATGGTGCAGCATACTTATACCACTGCTCAGACAACTACACCTTCCGAGCGGATCTGGGAATATGCTACTCGGTAAGGGGGCCAAATGCAATGGTTATCATATCATTGTATTATTTTGTAATACATGTTTCTTTTTAAGAATGCGCCTTGTGACCCAGAGCTATGTGACGTTTACCCAGAGAACACCCGCTCTCCCAACCGCAATGACACACATAGTTTCTGTCTGTGTGTGAGCAAGCAGCAAGTGATAGTTGACTGTCCCAACAACCAAACCTATAATCCAGTTTCTCAATTATGCCAAACGCACGATGTAAGTTTAAAGCGTATACCTTTGCTGTAGTCGTAGCCACTTAATCCATTCCCCTATTTTGTTTGTTGTGCAGGAAAAATGTTCTTCTACTTTCTGCCTCACGGCGGACGAGAATACCATTTTCCCAGCTTTGGACAATGATACCGACGGCTTCTGCATATGCCTTGCTTCGGGTGCCGAATATAAGCCCTGTGAAGATGGTAGCAAATTTGACGTGGATAGGGGTATATGTCTGCCAACTAGCGAGGAGGAGGCTTGTAGTGATTCACTTTGTGTAGACAATGTTGGTTTGATTTTTGGTGCTACGGGTGATCCAAACGCATTCTGCTATTGCGAACAAGATGGTGTAGCCACTAAGAAGAGCTGCCCTAACTCGGAGATATTTAACGATACTTTGCTAATATGTCAGGCGGTAAGTAAATATGCACATAACTTAGTTCTATAATTTACTCAGTTCTCATTTAAAATTTCCTTCAGCTGGGATGCGACGGCCAAGTGTGCCTGACGAATCCTTCCGGACCTTTTCCAGCATTAAATGAACCATACTCATTTTGCATTTGCACAAGCACAGATCCGAGTTCCGTAACCAAATACAATTGTGAA